AGGAGACAGAACAGTGCCCGTGCCTCTGTGAATGCAAACGCAGGGGCAGGGGACAGGCAGCTGCGGCAGGAAGCAGGAGCCACAACCCCCAAAGCCTGTCAGCCAGAGACACAGCGAGGCCGGCCGACAGAGGGTCTGCTCCCCGTGAGCTGAGCCCACGGCCGGGAGCCTGCCTCGGATCTGGCTGCCCGAGCAGCGCTGGTCTCACTGCACAGCCGAGGGGAGAGCCGAACACGCCCCTAACGGAGCCCCCGCGCCCCAGTCTGGGCTGGCCGCGCTCGCGGGAGGGGCACGCAGTACCAGGCAGACCCCAAGGTCTCAGCTTGCTGTTGCCTACACTGACTGCAACAACGGTAAAAATCCACCCTGTTCTAGCAAAAGGTAGAGAACAAACAAGAATCAAACAGAAGAGGCTGCGTCACTCAAATCAGGTCATGAGCTGCTCACACACTTTCCCACCCTGCCCCCACGCCACTCTCTGCGTGTGTGTGTGTGTGTCCTGCACCCATCAGTGCACATGTAACCTTGAAGCAGACACACAATGCGTGTGCGTGGGGGCGGTTCACGGCGTGCGGTAGACAGTATATACGTGGTGTTCTCACCACTTTCCAAAGTGTGTCATTCCTGTTGACAAGATGCTGCTGCCATGGCCAACCGAGAAACACACAAACCCTAGTCAGGTGGGGAGAAGTCCCCCAAGCAGAGAACCAGGTCCTCAGACTCAGCCTCAGGCCCGGGAGGAAGCCACGACGGCCCCCCGCGCCCGTGGGCTCCAGACTTCCGGCCAGGAGAGTCGCCATAATCTTCACTTTTCAACCGGGGAAGTGCTGGGAGGGCAGCCTCCATTTACCTCCTCGGTCACTGAGGGCCAGCCTCGCCGCCAGCGGCCAGCTATGCCACGCACACTTCGCTCAGGGGCCTCGTGGGCTCACCCGAGCAGCGGCTCTGAGGGCCTTGGTGCTCCTGGCCTGGCAGGATCGGCCAACACGGAGCACTGGAATCCGAACGGCGATGCGTTACACTGACAGGCTGGTGGAGTTTCTCTGACTCCCGCCTCCCACAGTCACACAAAACCAAAAGGGGAGAAAGCGCGACCATTTCACTCAACAAAGTGTTTTAGGCGTCAGCTCTGGTGGACTTTTAAACCGGGAAGCACATTTTGTTTTTCATGTAAAAAGAGGGATAAACATGTATGTTACTGGGAAGTTTTGAAATCACATATATTATTTCAAACCAGAAGGGCACAGGCCTTTAAAATGTGGCATCATGATTTCTAACACACAGAAAGGCACACAAGTGATTTTTCTAACATGTTCTGCATATGCTATGATGTAAGCAGATGATGCTCCTGTCATGGATTCTTGTCACTGTTTAAATTTTAAGCCACAAACCAAATAATATGATCTGTCACTGAAACAATTTCGATACATTTAATATAAATAATATTTAAATTGTTACATTCAAAATCCCGTGTAAAGGAGGAGTCCCATTAACCTCATCAAACAAATATCTCGAAACAAAGAAATAAATTAAAGAGGCTTCAACCATTTCCTGCAGGGTTCTCTCTCCTCTCAATTCATTACCCAAAGTGAACCGATCCTTACAATCATTGAAATGTCCATCGATCGACGTTTAAGTGTCATGCCTGTGAAATATTTTCAGCTTTCATAATTTCTTTCCCTTTGAACCGAAGTTGTTTTGACTGGTAGGAAGATATTTTTTCCACAGCAGTTTGTCTCTCAAAGTTCAAAATAAGGTCCCTCAGAGCTGACATACTCCGAGGGGGGCCAGGTGGGGAACTGAGTGCACAGCCTGGCCAGGCACCTGAGCTCCCTCTGGCCGGCGGCACCCCGAGAGAGGACAGTGCAGGTACCCGAAAACTCTACCTAGCAGAAGCCACGAGATCCTGACATTGGTCACTCTCTAGATGCTATGCTCTGAGCCTCCAAATTAGAAAAACAAACCCAAAAAATTCTCACCTTCCCGAGATTCCTTAGGAAACACCAAGGATCCCTGACACTTTTTTTTTTTAAACACATTTCAAATGTCTTCACAAGTAACCTGATGCCTGCCTCCAGGCGTTTGCTAACCCGAGAGCCAAAATCCCCGTCAGCACAGTACTGCTAACTTTTCAAACCGGGATAATTCTATTTTGCAGAATGCAAGTTCAGACTCTGTCTAATTTATTGTACAATAAGAGCAAAATCTCTCACCCCCCCCCCCAAATAAGGGGGAAAGGCCTTCGTGAGTGACTTCAGAGAGGCTGACCTCCCGATCTCCCTGTGTATGTATCAATTTAGAGGTGACTGGGGGTAGACAGTCCTCCTGGTGCCGGTGGGCGGCTCGGAGCGGTCCGCTGCGGGCCAGGCCTGCACCTGCGCTCCCCCGACCCGGGAAAGGAGAGGCACACCCACCCAAACCAGGGGTTAGGAATCTTACTGCCTTGTCTTTTCTTTCCTCGTTTCTCTCTCTCTCTCTCAAATCCACCAGCTACGCCCGGTTTTTCTTTCGCAATTCAATTGAAAACACTCACGTGGATTTGCGCGTCGCACTTTGGGGCCCAAGACTGATCCTCCGGCTGGAAGAGGAACCTCGGAGCCCGGACTCCGACCACCCCGCCAGCCTCGCCAGGGTCGGCCGCCCTGGCGCGGCCAAGCGTCCCGCCGGTTCCGCCGAGCTCCGCGGCGCCCAGGGGCTGTGGCGCAGTCCCGTCCGCAGCGGCCGTGCAGGCACTTGTTAGAGTGCCCGGCGAACTTGGCCGCCTCGCTCTTCCCGGCTTTCTTTCACAATGACTTCCTGGACTTGCTCACTCGCATTGTTCCCCATTTCTCCGCCACACTCCCCACCCCCCGCCGGCCCCGACCCGGCTTTCGCGCTGCCGGCGGGCTGCTGCCCCGCGCGCACAGCGCCGCCCACGGGCCGCGCACCTGGCCCTCCGCGCCGCGCCCTCGCGGGCCAGCGCCTCGCCACCTGCGGCCGCAGCCCCGCAAACTTCGGGGCTGCGTGCACGCCTGTCCCGGCTCCGCCGGCCACGGAGCCGCCGGCCCGCCCCGCGCGCACGCCCTGACCCTCGCCCAGATCGGCGCTCGGGAACACTGAGCGGGACGCGCGCCGGGTACGGAGCGGGACTCGGAGCGGGACTCGGAGCGGGACACGGAGCAGGACATCGATCCGGACGCGGAGTGAGACATGGCTCCGGGCGCGGAGCGGGCTCGGAGCGGGCTCGGAGCGCAGCACAGAGCCAAGCGCACCGCCCCCGCGGCACCGCCGGTCCCCGCTCGCGCGGCACCGTCCCGACCGCAACTCCGGGGCCGCGCGCACAAACTTTGTCGCGGCGCGGGGCTGGCCCCAGCCCCCCAGGGCCCCGGGCGGAGGCGGCGTGGGCCGTACCTGCTAGCGCCGCCGCCGGCTGCAGCCCGCTCGCATGTCTCGCCCGCCTCGCCCGGCGCGCCTCCGCCACCCCCGCGCGCAGCACGCCCCGGCCCGCCCCTCGCCGCCGCGCTTCCTCGTTCCAGCGCCGCATCGCCCCGCAGCCCGCAGCCCCGCGCGGCAGGCGGTGGCCGGCGCTCTGTGCCCGGACCGGCGGCGGGATCGCCCGCGGCGCGGCTGGACCTGCGCTTAACCCTTGGGCGCCCGGCGCGGGCGACACGTTCCGGGGCGCGGGAGGAGGGGACGCAAGCCTTCGGGTCCCGCCAACCCGAGTCTGGGGCCGCTGGGCTCTACCCGCATCCTCGCCCGGCTCAGGGGACTAGAAGGATTTGGGACACCAGGAACACTTTCCCCAGGGTCTGGGGACGTCCCCTACCCGCCTGGCTCCACTTCCCTGGGACTGGGGTTCTGGCTGCGACCCCAATTTCTGAGTGCCCACCCGAGGGGGAGGGAAAAGCTGATCCTCCGCCAGAGCGGGAGAGTGCGGTTCGTTCCCGGACAACCAGTGGAATACCTCTGGGCGCTCTTCCCGCCCACCTGCTCCCAGAAGTCAGGATCGCGCCTTCCATCTTGGCCCGTGTGCACACGCAGGTGTGCAAGGGCCTCAGCGAGGAGGCGACAGCGAAGGCGACCGGCTGGTGGTTCTGTGCACCTCGGACTCCCCCGCCCTGGCCCTAGAGCAGGGGTGCGCTCTGAGGGGCACCTCCGCACTCTCCTCGCTCAGTCTGAGGATCCCGGCCCCACCGGCAGGAGCTCAATTTGAGCAGGACAGGAACAATCCTGAATTCAGCCACATGATCAGGAGGCCCCTCAGGCGCCAAGGGAGGGACTGGGGGTCCTTTGGGATGTGCTGGGCAAGTCAGTGGGCCTGGGACGGCAGCCTGAGCGCCTGTGAGCAGGAGAGACCTGGGCCCCTGGGTAGCTCCCGCCGCCAGGCAGAATGACTTCCAGGGGGAGAGAGAAGCAGGCCACTGCCCGCCCGCAGGAGGACGGGTGCGCAGGCCTCCCAGGTGGAGAGAACAGTGGCACAGGCAGGTGACAAAGATGTCCCTTCAGAGCAGAGGTCAGGGAAGGCTGTGCCTGGATGAGGAGGCTGCAGGTGGTAGGGCCCAGGAGCCCCACTGACCACTGCCTGGTGCACCTCGAAGTCTCTTCCATCTTCCTTGACCGCGCACAGCATCACCCACAGCTACTCCCCCTGAAAGACACTCCCTGGGCCCAGCTGAGCCAATTAGCTCTCTGCTCAAAGCCCAGAGGGGGCAGGGCTCATAAGGTGTTGGGGACTTTCATTCCCAGGCCTCCGCTCTCCTGCATGACCTTGGGCAACTTGTTGAAGGTCCCTGAGCCCGTTGTCCTTACCTGCAAACAAATGAATGCTGCTTCATCCTAAAGAGTTCTTGTCAGGGTGGAATGAGGCAATGAGCATAAGGTATGAGGCCCACAGCGGGGTGGACGCCTTTGCTTTCTGGGGGCCCACAGCACCCTTCGCCCTGGTGTCTCTAAACCACGCATGGGCCCAGGAGCGGGACTTGATGACAGACTGGGTCATCCAGCCAAGCAAACCCCCCGAGGCAGAAGAGCTTAGCCGAGAGTCTGGGCTGTGTGATCTCCTGAGGTCCTGAACCCTGCTGAGCCTCAGTTTCCACATCCATAAATGGCAGCACTGCTATCAGCAGCCTCACGGGATGGTCTGTGGATCGCGTGGGCCACACACGGGCTCTTGCTGTGGGCCCAGCAGAGGCAGACTCTGTGGGCGGTACCTGTTGTCCATGCCTGACTCGCTGAGGACTCGTGTCTGGCTGAGCCGGGCAGCCAGCTGAGAAGCATGGGTCCCGGTCCCCCCACTCCAAACAGGTGGAGCAGAAGGAGCCCAGCTGCGACCTGGGGTTTGTGGGCAGACACGTGCCCCAGAGAGGACCCACAATGGAAGGTAACAGAAAAGGCACATTGGAGGGCAACCAATGGGGGGAAATGGAGACATATGTGATACTTTAAAAAGTGATAGGTCTAAAGTCACTTTGTTCCTTGCGAATATGTATGTATGATCTATTGCTATTTTCATACTGTTAAGGAGTTTGATAAGTATAGTTTAGTTTATTGACCCAATAATCGCTAAATTACCAATTTCCCTTCTTTTGAGATGACATGACCAGAAGAATAAAGAGCACCTGTAGCAGTCATCCTCGTTCTAGAGTGTGGGACTAACGCAGAACTCGTGAGTGTCGCCCGAGGAGGGCGTGGGGAGAGACCCAGGACCGGGTGAAATTTCCGCAGCGAGTCCTCTGCTCCTTGAGTTTCTTTCCCGAGGTTTCCCAGTTCCCAGCGTCTTCTGCTTTCAGAAGCGGACAGCCCCCGGCCGGAGCTCGCTGGCCCCTTTTCCTTGGGTCTGGCTCCAAGCACCAACCACGGGCTCCCACCTGCTCTGGAAGTAAACAATCAGGGCGCAGAGCTGGGGTGCCTGGGAGCTCTCCCCTCACCCCCGTTTCCATTTCCTCTCCGGGGCCTCGATGGCTCCTGGCTTTGTCCCCCCCCCCCCCCGAATGCCAAGGTTCTGCCCACCACGCCCGTCTCTGCTTCTTGATTCTGAATCAAGGATGTGCTGCAGCGGCCACCTCCCCCCCCCCCATGGTTCTGTCACCTGCTTCTCTTCGGTACTTGTGAGAGGAATACACTTAGGTTCTCAGAACACTGACTTGTTATCAGACCTGCCTGGTTAGAGGAGACGGAGAAACAAATGGGCCCGATGCAGGGCCTTGGGTGAGGGCGGGTTGCTGATGGGAAGTTCCTGGACGTGTTGGGGGCCAGGAGAGGAAGAGCAGAATCCGATCTGACTTGGACAGACCCTAGCGGAGAAGGGCGGGAACGAGCCCTCATTATGACCCTGAAGCGTTAGTTTCAGGTGTTCTTCACGTCCTTCTTGGGAAGATGGCATCTGGAGGAAAGAGGGTGAGGAGGGGGCAGAGGGTCACAAATGTCCGCAGATTCACAGTTGGGACTAATCTTGGCCTGGTGGCCAACATAGAGACCCCGACAGTGCAGGGGTCAGGGGCACTGACCCCCTCACAGGTGGAAACCTGCATATAACTTTGGATTCCCCAAAACGTAAGTCCTAGTAGCCTACTGTTGGCCAGGAGCCTTACCGATCACCTCGTGGTGAATTAACGCATATCTTATGTTACAAGTATTGCATACTGTATTCTTACAATAACGTAAGCCAGAGAAGAGAAACCGTTACAAAGAAAATAATACGGAATAGGAAACACATTGACAGTCCTGGCCACGTGTATCGGTACTATAAATCCATGTCATTTGTTTGTAAGATGAAAAAGTCGGCCTGTGCCGTTTAGACCCGTGTTCCTCAGCGGCTGAGATCGTCGCTTGATCTGGGAAGGATGGGCCCTGAGGGGTGGGTGCTAAGTCCCACAGTTCCAAGAACGTTTATCCGGGGCGTTCAAGTCTGCAAAACCTGCCCCAGGCATTGCGTTGGAACCTGAGGTTGTCTGCAGGTCGATGCTCAGGAGACCACAGTGGCCTTGTTTGCCCTGGGTCACTGGCTGCTCCTTCTCAGACCCTCCTGAGATGCTGGGCCTCCCAGACGAGGCCCAGGACAGAGTTTGCCATGTCATCAGTGTCTGATACCTGCAGCTCAGGCCTCCCTCGGAAGTCAAGGTGCATCTCACTGCCCCCTCAACACCTTTACCTGGGGGTTTCACTGGCATCTCATGGTTACTGTGTCCCCAAACCCCTGGAACTTGCTTCATGGTGGCTTCTTTCCTTCCTTCCAACAGCAGCTGGGAACCGCTGTGGCCCAGACCCTGGGAGGCCTTCTTGATGCCCGTCTTTCTCTTACCATCCAGTCTATGGACCTCCTGATGGCTCGGCCTCCAACAGGTACCCATAACTCAGCCTCCTGCGGTCTCTGTTGCAACCACACTGGTCCAGACAAAGGTCCCCTTTTGTCTGATCTTCCATCCCTGGCCAGCACGTGGGGGCCCGAGGAAAAGTAAGTGGGATCATGCATGTTGCAGGAGGGTGGTCCAGCGCACCCCAGTAAGAGCCCAAATCCCAGGAGGACAGATGACGGAAGCTCATTTCTTCATTCCTCACTTGTCTCCCTCACGACTCCTGTCCAGCTACTGTCCCCTTGCTCACAGGTGTCCAGCCAGTTTGCTTGGCCTCACTGGTCCTCAAGCACCTGGGACAGCTCACTGTACACTGTCCCCTGCTCCAAGCCTGCTCAGCTGACATCTGGGCTTGAGACTGTCCCTGCCCCCTCTGTGCAAAGCCCAGCAGCCTCCCCCCCCCCCCCCCAGCATCCCTCACTCCCTCTGCCTTCGGTTTTCCGGCAATACCTGTGGTCTCCGAACGCGCCGTATATTAACGTCACTTTGTTTACTTCCTATGAAGATGGAGATTCTTTTCTTGTCTGTTTGGTTCCATCGGTGCCTGAAACCTGACACTCCACAGACATTTCCATGTATCGAGCCCACTTTTGGAGGGTTTTATCTGACTTTTCTGACTCAGGCAAAACGATCCCGGTTCGGTACAACGACAAGGTCTCCCAGCATGCACAGGAACGGTGCGTCCCAAGCCCTCGGCCCGAAGAGCTGCCTTCCTCTCTGTCTGCCCGTCCGTCTGGCCCGGTGAGATCATGCATGTCGCGGTGTTCCCTCCACCTGTTCACTGCTCTCAGCACGGAGGACTTCCGTCCGGAATGTTCCGCATTTCACCCCTCCAGAGCTGCAGAGAAGGCTGCAGTCTCGTCCACCCTGCCCTTCTCCGTGCAGTATTGTCATTGTCCAGCCAGTCCCCAGGAAGGAAGCAAAGAATCATTTTTAAAATGCAGCACTTCAGAATCAGAATGGACTTTCTGTAGTCCTGGTTGCATGGGGGCAGTTGGCCCAAATGAACTGGTATCTCTTTATTTCTGCAGGGCTAGAAACAGATTACGCTTTAGTGAGGTCTGGGGTTCGTGTTTCTCTAAATTGGTGAGTTAGAAATTATTTAAAGGTACAACGTCTTCTGTAGCTACTCACAGCCCCGTGGCTATGTCTTCTTTTACTATTTACTCACAGTATTCGTCTTCCTCGGAGACAGGTTTTCCTACCGGAGACAAAGAGCTCATTTTCTGTGCATCTCAGGAGATGGCACCTTTATTTCCACCTCAGAGCGCAAGTACACAATTTACTTTAGCTTGAACAGTGTTGTGCAATTAACTCGAAGAGTTGAGTTCTCATAATATCCCTTTCTTTCTGTGATTATGTCTCGCGAACATTGTCTGCCGCCCGCCGTTTCCAGCGCGCGGTGGTGAGTGCCCCTGCGTTTTGGGAGGAGGGGTAATGTCACGATTTACAGGTGAGAACAAAGGAGAACAGGCAGGATGCAGGTCCCGTTCTCCGGAGCGCGTCGAGATAGGCTGGCAAGGCTGTTGACTCCAGGTGGGCACACATTCCACAGCCATCAAGGGGTGACAAGCCAGGTGCCCACCCGAGGGGAGAGCCCGGGGCTTGGCGCCATGGGCTGAGCTGTGGAGTGCACACGTTTAGATTTGAGAGGGCGTTTCATCAGCACTGCGTGTAGCTCACCAGGACCTGCTCCGGTGTAATGACTTCGTTACTGGATTATCATCTGCGAGGCAGAAGTCAGTTCCACCTGCTCCTTCGGCCTGAGAGGGGCCCTCTGCGCACCTCCCGGGGCAGCTCTTGGCCCCGAGGACGCCAAGGCCATTAAGCCCGTAAGACAGAGCGAGCACCTGGTGATTGATGCCCTGGGAGCCGGACTCCTGGACCTGCGGGGCTCTTAGCACGAAGCCAAGCGGTCGATAGTCAGACACTCAGCACTGGCGGCCGAACCGGGCAGGGCTTCAGCACTCAGCCCGAGTCCGCTGGCCCGGCTCCCCAGCACCTGCCTCTTGGACATTCCCGAGACCCGCGGGCTTCGGCGAGAGTCCGGGCACCCCGGGCGCGCCCGCTCCGGGCTCTGTGATTTATGCGCGCCTGGCTTTCGACTTCATCAGCATAAAGCGCTCATCGGCTCATCCACCTCCTCCCCCTCAGGAAGTTGGACCACGTTACGGTGCTTTTCTTGTCGGATGAGGAAACGGAGGGAAAGGAGGCTCCTCGCGTGGACAGGCGAAACAAAGGGAAAGAAAGCTGCTTCTTGACGACCCGAGAGTTTAGTGTGACATCTGATCTTCTAACAGGTGGCACCGAGTGTTTGATTACTCAGCTGAAATGGCATTCTATAGAGACCGTCACCCCAGCGGGGGACAATGCCACTCCACCGGGGGATTCTATTTTACTCTACGAATATATATATATATATATATATATATATATATATATAAAAATAAAAAGTTAGCTAAGGTAAGGCTTGGCATGCCGATGGATATAGACAGGCCAACAGGACCCGTTCCTTGCTCTGATTGCTCTTGACTGGGTTGGGTGGAGGCATACCCGTGGTCACCACCTCGTGGCCTTGGGGTGACCACGGACGATGCCTGTGGAAGACCACGAAGCCGGGCTCCTTTCCTTCTCCGGGACAGGTTTGCACGGGAACCGTTCCCCAGTATCACGAAGGTGGGAGCCTCCCACAGTGGAGCTCACAGCGAGGCCTGTCAGCCCGCCGGCCCCCCCACGGCGGGAGACTTCTGGGGTTTTCCCAGCGGTGCATTAAGCAGCGTGGTGAGAAGCACCGCGCGGCGCGTTGAGAGACTTCACGTCTTCCATTAACCGGTTCCGAGACAGAGGACCAGTGTCTTCATCCCCCTTGTAATCGGAGCACTTTACATAGACTTCAACCCAGTTGCTAAATTGCTTGAATTCGTTAAATGTACAAAGGGGGCTCCTCCCCGTTGAGGGGGTGAAAGTAGATGTTTGATTAAGCAGATAGCTGGAGGAGCGATCTCCTCCCATCTGGGTACGTGAAGGGGGACGTTTGAAACTCAGCGCTCGGTTCATACCTTCCAGAAGGGGAGGGAAGAGGGTGTTTAACAAGGTTAACAATGACAGAAAGAGGAATTGACACCACAAAAGAAAAATAATTATTCTAGCGCTCTGTGACAGTTCGAAGACAGATGTCATTGGCTAAGTGAGACTCTGGTAGGCATGGGGGTAATATACACCTTATATGCATACGGGTTAGTGACAGCAGACTGTCAGATTGGGGAGCGTACGGTTGTCAAATATGAGACACAGCTGCACAAAACCTGGAGAACGACTTACTATTTATTTCTTCCCTTAAAGACCCAACCCTGTCGCCATTTCAAAGACAAAAGACCATGTCGTGTCAGGACCGAGGCAGGTCAGGGGTGGGGTGGGATCAAAGTTGGAATGAGGCCTCCTGAGGGGACCTGGACCAACAGTCTATTCTCTTCTGAGGTATATTCTTCACCTTAATCATACACACACTGTTCTCTTTGGTTTCGGTTCACCCAACAGGCCCTCGACTAATTCCATCTCCCTGAGGTCCACAATGAAGGACTCCAGACTTGAATCGATGAGACCCCAGATTGAGCAACTTCTATTCGAAGTCCCTTGGAAGTCGCTGGATGATGGAGGTCCACCCGACCCAGGCGATTTTAGGCCCCACCATAATGAGCTGTCCCAGAGGGCATTGCTGGCCCTCCGAGCTTCAGTAGAGGTTGGGTAGATGGAGAGAGCCAGTAGGCAGAGACGGTTTGGGTTGGTTTGATTGGTAGAGAGGGTTGCTAGTGAGAGTCAGGAGACCTGGTCTTGGTCACGCTTCTCTCTCTAATCTTGGGCAAGTCGTTTGGTTGACCCTCCTAAGCATGGGTTTCTTCCCCTCCTAGAATAGAATGGTAGACAAGATGATTCTGTGATGTCCCCCATTGATCCTCCATGACGTGACTTTGGCTTTGTCAAAGCTTGTATTTCTGTGGCTGGTGTGGGACTGGAGAGCAGCCTTGGAGAAAGCCCTGTTGTCTCCACGTCCACCCTACCTCGATCTTTCAGAGCCGTGTCACCCCAGAAGGCCTCACGCACGGAGGCCTAGCTCTGCCCAAGCAGCTGGAACTCACTGTACTCTCAAGGGTGGACAAACACGCCCACTGATGCCATCAGGGATAACCGATCGTGACTGAACCCCTATGACCAGACCTGGAGGGTCTGACTTCCACACCAGTGAGGTAAGGCGAAGACCTTGAGCCTTCTCCTGACCTGAAGTATAAATGAAACAGATGCCCGCTGGAGGTCAAGCGCCACCTGGCTTTGGTCTGGGTAGTGCCCTCCTGGAGAAGTCTTATGCTTGGCCGGTGGCAGGATTTTCCTTGGAAAGTCCACCTGAGTAAGAGACAAGAGACACCTGGTGAAGACCAGGACTCTTGGGAATGGCTGCCTACTGCATAAGAAGGGAGATTCAAGGACGATGAGTTAATGTAGGACAAAAATAAGTGTATTGATCTGGGGGAAACCCTGGCCACGGCTGTGAGCTGGGCTCTTGTGGTAAGTGGGAAATGCTTTGGGGAAAACCCATAACTTCCCCAAAAGCCTATGTAAATGCCTACAACGTGGAAAATTCACAGGAAAACCTTGAGATCTCAGCACACACTCACTTAATTAGAAATACTGAGCTGAGAGAGTGGAAGTAAGAAGCGTAGCTGCCCTTGGGCTCACAGGCCTCCCTCGTCCAACGCTTAATGAAGGGCAGGTGATGGATGTGCAGAAAACACCTGCGTGAAGCCAAACGTTCTTTGTAGGAAAAGAGCATCAGATAAGAATTGCAGATCTGTAGGCAAATCTTAGGCAAAGTCAATGACATTCTCTCTTGTTTTATAGGCGAAACAGGCCGATCGAAATGACCTGCTGGGGTGTATTTTGAAACGGGTGTCTCTTATCCGAAAGGGGTTTGCATGGGGGGTAGATTCTGTTGGTA